CTGTTGTGATTCTGGTTTTGCTCAGTCATTCATTTGGAAATTGGTCATTAAAAAAAATCACAGGCTTGAAAGGATAATTGAATACATTTTCAAACATAGGCAAATGGGAGATGCACACACAGTCCTCTATATAAAATGTCTACTTAGTAAATGTAGTGTGCAATAGACTACCTGTAGTTAATCCAGTTTCTGTACCACAGGCAGTGGATGTCCAGCACCTGCTGGTGGCCAGGGCTTTTGAGCAAATGGCAGTTCATGGACGAAGAGAACTGCCTCGCATTTTCAGGATCAGGCTCGAGTGTGAGCAATTCCTAAAAACTTTTTCTTTAAAAGAAATTATCACGGAGTTTTCTGAAGCCTCCTGCTATGTTTGCCACAATTCAGATACTGCGAGCTATGAACCAGATTGTGCCACTCCTATGTAGGTCACATAGTACCTTGCCTACACAGTGGGGTTGTCTCTTAGACCGTAGCTCAAGGTAAATATAAAACACGCTGTCTAGTCTGTACAGCGCAGGGTAAGGACACATTGTACACCCTGTCTAACCCATGATCCAAATGTATTTGAAAAGTCCTGCTAACATTGTTTCTCATCTTATGAAGCTCATAGTGTTATGGGTCCACAACCCGTATTGTTTAGGTTCCTTTCCTGTGTTTTTCTCCTTTCATGAATGACACTTAGAAATGCACAAGGGAAAAGAATAAGCAGAAATTCCTGTTTGTGAAATCCTCCTCTTTGTCCAGTCTAATAAGGAATTCCTTCTCTTGTGATAAACATCAATATTTTTCTAGCTAGGCCGTATTTGTTACTTTTTGTAGCTTAAACGATTTCTGTAGTTAGAGCATCACTGTACAGTGGGTATAAACCACCATTTCTTGAGTCTTGTGTAGCCATTCATTTCTCTAGTGCTTTAAGAAAGCCCTTATTAGCAAGAAGGACAAACGGTGACTTGGTAGCCTTCAACAGTTGCTCTGCACAAATGTAAATGTCATGGGGTACAAGGAAAACTAGCTCCTGTGGTTTTCGTTCTTTGAGAAGAGTACTCAAGGTGGCTCTTAAAGGAGGGAAAGAAACCTGCTCAAGAGAGGACACAAAATTCTCTATCCAGAAAACCATTCCTGTCCCCAGCCCCCAGCACATGCCCTGAAAATGTCACTCACAAGCAACTCTGCGACTTTAACATGCAAATATTTCAGTTCTATTTTAAGGTAATCAAATTTGTGATTCTTCAGTCTAATTTATCTTCCTTAGTTTCGTTAAGGTTTTGCTCTTTCTTGAGATCTTTTTCACTTCAATTTTTCAGTGATGTTTTCATTACTGTGTGAGTTGCTTTTAAAACTCAGGATGAAGAAATACTTCCCTTGCCTTAAGAGCTCTTGCCCTGAAGGATTTTACCTTGATAGATACCTCAGATGACGCTTAGCTGCAGGTTTCAGTCACTGCAAGCCAGGGAGCAACACTCAGATTTTGATTCTTTCAATATAATAAAGGGGTTTTTCCTGCTTCTCCTCTGAGACTATTAAAAAAAAAAAAAAAAAAAAAAGTCTGTAATAACAGGAGCTCTCAAACCGAAGAGGAAGTTTTTTCCCTTATCTAGAATGACGTACCACTTCATACTAAATCTGTCACTAGCACATCCTTCCTGCCCACTCTCTGCAATGCCTCCAGGATGATAGGCAGTGTGATTAATTGGAAAAAGAGCAGTTTCTCCTCACCTCAGATTATGGGAGTAAAAATAGGCTCAGTGTGAAAGACACTTCTGAAACAGACTATTTTTTGGTCTCCAAAACTATTAGGGCTGTTCTGCAAGAAAGGAGCGGCTGGGGTTTTATGCGCTCACGTGTGCATTGTTTGTATTGTTTCCATTTCAAGGTGCTGTATTGTACGTAAACCAAGATGGCCATGAGGTGACAGGCTGACATCTAAGCTGGTTTCCCAAGGAAATGAGGTCTGCATGATAAGCATTGGAGTCACTGCCTGCCCTCTTCCAGTAGTTTTGAATTTACTTTCCAGGTTCAGTCAAATTTGAACTTAGTTTCACAAAACCTTAATGAAAACAGGCAGCTGGGTAAGGAGGATAAGTGTGTTTTCCCAGAGAGGGAAAGGAGGAGCCCTGTTTATATCCTGTACCAGGGAATCCACATGGGGGAGAGCTCTTATCACACCTTCAGAAGCAGGAAAAGCTTTGATTGGTGCTTGCCTCCAGAGAAGCAGGACGCAGCGCCATGGGAAGTCAGGATTCGTTACTGCGCTGTAAATACATCTCTTGAAATGGCTTCAATCCAGTCTGCTATTTGAGCATGACCACAGCGAGTGGGTGAGCGGCAGGGCTGCAGCCAGGGCACCGCCTCGGCTCCTGCCAGGTGCCCACTCCTGACGGAGGGTGAAGTTCCTGTGCAAAACTCCCTGTGCACCTCTATTCTTGGGGAGAGGCTGGCGGCAAGGCATGGCGAATGTGGCGCTTTACAGTCGGGCTAGGTGGCAATTTGTAAAAATTGCACTTAAAAAAAAACCATTAGCGCCCCCTATCTTTGTACATGAGGAAGCCCTGAGGCAGAAGTGCAATCCTTTAATTCATAGGGAGAGGCCACACTGCATGCACTCCTTGCTCCGAGGAGAGCTGCCCGTGCAGATGCAATCCTGGCAGTTTCTGGTGGGCTGTGAGGACACTTTTATCTTTACTTTTTCATGTAAGGGATAAAGTGGAATAGTAATAATGGGACCAATAAATGAAAGGAAAACTGTAACCACATAATTATGTCAGAATCAACTAACAGCAATGAAAAGATGATTAGATCACATAATGCAGATACATGAACAATACTATTAGTGAGTCCTTTGCAATGGCACGCCTGGCAATTAAGACAACAGTATTGGCAGCACACAGTGAAAACAGTGATAATGTATAGTTAAAAATGTCTGGAGACAAACAGTGCATAGAGGACAGGGACAGCCTAGAACTGAATACAGGAGTGTCCTCAAAAATACCAGCACCCGGGGGAAAACCAAAGATGTTATTCTAAATAGACTGTTTGACTAGGATGTTGGGCATAGCTTGGAATAATTTATATTTATCATCAAAATGAATTTACTGGCTGATCCATAAATGAAAGGCTGCAGTGCAGCAAGTAGTCTCTATTTTCCAACTCTCCACAAATTTCAGGTTGTGCAGGTTAATGGAGGAACTCCGTATTTTTTCTGAATTAAAGAAGCTTGCAGAAATATTCTGATTTAGGCAGTAAGAACATTAGGTAATGTTCCTCTGGTTGCAACTGTTCAGTAAATATTTGTGAATGAGATTACTAAGCATTGTATGCTCTTATGTATGGGGCATTTCCAGGTTGGGGACCTGAACGAGGTGTCACCCAATCAAGTTCCTTTCTCAATGGAGCACTGGGATTTGTTGTTTTCCCTCACCAACCATAGAAGAGAGTTGAAGGTTCAATTCTATCCTTCACTTCCCTTCCTCTGCCCGCCCTTGCGGAGCAGTTCTCATCTGCAGTCAGGGAGAGTTGTGCTGGAACAAGCTCTAAGATAACGTTAGTGTGGGGTTCAGAGTTCCCATAGGCTTTACAGAAAGATATGCTCCTACCAGAAACTACTCCATGTGACTGTGCAGAGCTCATCTAAGGGAATAAAACCAGTGGGGATTTTCTGGTGTCAAAGGATGAATATGCTGGCGAGTTTGTACTCCCTGTATTTTCTTCATCATGCCAGACTTCTGAGACATGCTACCAAGAGAGCTGGCTTGCAGAACACCAGCATGGATCCTTTAAATATTTATCCTATGTATTGTTTTCCAACATGTACACACAGGTTTTCTTCTTGCTTTATTTTTGGACATGGCTGAACCAGCGTGAAATGCAGAAGATGAGAGGTCAATTGCATCCGTGCCTATAGCAGTGCTTTCCTGAGCTATTATAAAGCAAAGGAAGGGAGAGAATGTATGTGCGGTTACGCTTTGATTACAGAAGCCAGGCAGTATGTTTATAAATGAAATTCTGTCAACAGCTTAAGTACTAGGGACGTGTAATGAATGAAATCTCTGCCAAACCAAGATTTACAATGACCAGGAGACATGCCTTTACTTAAATGGAGAAAAGAGACGGTGTTCATAGAAGGTTAAAGCATTTAATTGTATATGATGTCTGTATTTACTTGGGCTATTTTTCCTCATACTTTATATGTGAGAATGTTGATGCTTACCAAGTGATTTTCATGAGAGAAGAGTATCGTTGTCACCACCTTTACATGCGAAGAAACTGACACTCAGCAGTGTGGAGTACCCTAAGTGAGATACCATACCAAAGGGGGAATTAAGAACCCAAACTTTTTGTGTCCGAACTGGGTATATTATATATTGGATCATGCTGGATTTAATAGCAAAGTAAATTTAGCTATTGATAGTATTAAACACCTGGTTTTTTCATCCTTTTATTTGAAGCTGGAGCATCATATTCCTTCTCCAGCAGAGAAATAACTTAAATCCATTTCTTTCACCTTTTCCAGAACGCACAGAAAACAAATAGTTTCTGAAGTAAGAGACTCATTGGTAGCAGTGTCTGCTCCTACATTATCCAGCAGAAAGGATGCTTTTCCTGTAAACAAAATAATATATGAATAACGCATAAAAAAACCCCACTCTAGCCAAGAGTAGTAAATCTTGGGCCATACCTGTAACAAAAATGGTGCCTATGGCAAATGTGTATCACTCCTAAGTCGTGACCGTCCGTAAGGTGTGTTGTATTCTATCAGGACATGCGGTTCTGACATGCACAGAACATACAAACCCTGTTACAGCTTTTACACACTCTTTGAAGATTTAGCTTATGTGTTTGCCTTTAAAAGAGTATTGTTAGGAATGTTCTTGTAGTTGCCAGTACTGCTGCTGAGCTCAAGGCACGCTTCTGGAAGATGGCCCTCCAACGCTCTTCCGTTCTTGCTGCATACTTCCACAGATCCAAAATATCACTAATGATACAAACCTTTCATTTCACAGATGAAGGAACTTGGCATCATTGTATACAACTGTAGCTGCCTGGTCCTGGATTTACAAAGGATATTTGCCCTCTATAGCTCATTAAGATACAAGAATAAAATACCTCCAAGTTGGTCTAAGAGACTGTATGGAGTGTACGACACTCAAAATAAACTGACACTGCAGCTGAACGAGACAAAATCAGAAGCTTTCGTGTCGGTAAGTTCTGAAATTAATTGCAGAGAGGGAGGGAAGGGAAGAAACTTACTTAATCCACTAGATTTTTGGAAGACCTGGAAGTTTAACATCTGATTACTCTCCTAATATTGTCCTTGACAAACTACAGCATAGTGAGACCAGGTTAGGTGTTAGTAGCAACTGTGAAAAGAATCTCAAGTGTCTTTTCACTAATGCAGAGATGTTTACAGTTCCCTGCAAGAAGTCCATCATAGTGCTGTGTTCAGGGAGAAATTACCATGGATGATAATTACCATAAATAGGAACATATATGGTGTAAATTAAGCCTATACTTAAGTATTTCTCTAAATTGGCCCTAACCAAAGATGATGTACATTACTGCTATGTCCTTAACCAAAAGCAGCTACTAAGGTAGAGACTTGCTATTAAAATTGAGAATAATATTGAGTGCCTGGAAACTTGACTATAGAGATAAGACCACTACAGCTGTCACCTACACAAGACAGAACTTTATTGATAGTCTTGTAATGCTGGAAAACCAAATCATTCTGTTCTCTGGGAGAATGGTTATTCCGATAGGTATACTTGTGTGGGGAAGTCTGCAATTGAAAGGTGTTTTAAAAGTTATTAGCCTGTTCCTATGGTGCAGAAGAGACAAATCACAGTCTGATTTTTTAATTCTGATTTCTGTGACATTGTTCTTACATGCAATTTGCCAGGACTGAAGCTGCTGCAGAATTTCATTTGCGCGCTCTTCTTCCTTTCTTTGCAATGTTCGCTTTTCCTCTCGCATTCAGAAAATGATAGGGAGTCCCTCCAAATTAGCTTATTTACACTAGTGGATATAAGGTGAATGACTTGGAGTAAATGAACTGTAAATCAGACATCTAAAATGATACAGAATAAGCTTGATATTAGGGCTTGCATTTTTTTCAATGTTAATTTTATAGGGATTAATCCTCTTCACCTTATTTCACTGAAAGCACTCATACTTCTGCAGAACATTATCTACTTCAGCGGTGTTTTTAAATGAGATTTTTAAACTTAAAAACTCAAGCAGCAATCCCCATGGAAGCACTGTGTCTGTGTTTGTAATGGGAAGGAATGGAGCAGTCCTTCATGTCAGCAGGGATGTAGCAAAACTGGAAAAAAGTACACAGAGAAAGAGAGATGATGAAAGGGAGAGTATGTTTCATTTTGGAGGTCATTACATGAGTGAAAAAACAAAACCCCTTCAAAATCAGGAACATAATGAAGTTGGCAAGCGTTATTTACCATTCTGTACAATGCAAGGGGCATTGCGTTATAGCCAGTTATGTCTAAAACAACACAAGGCATGTAGCACACAAAGTTGCACAGCCACCAGCACAGGATATTGGGGCAGATGAGTGGTTATACAGGGCAGGGTTTACCTTCACCTGCCAAGAACCACACAACGTTCAAGTGTCCAGGATTTTTCAGACTCCTACAATCGGTGGAGAGAGCAAGCTATTTTGGAGCAAAAATCTGGAAGTGCCTAAGACAGCCAGAATTAACAGCCATCTGAAGAGACATTGATTCTGGAGGGTCTTAAGGAGTAGCTTAAAACAGAGACTGACTTTTGGACACTTAGCTAAGGAGCTGTGAAATTAACTCCTGCTCCCTACTAAGCAATCTGTAAGAAATCGAGAAATCCTCCTGGAGGGGCACACAGTAAGGAAAGCTGTGTGAGGCCAACTTTAAGCAATGTGGGATCCTGGACGAAGACAGGTAGAGAGAGGCTCTACAAAAACTGCTCTTCTGCAGTTTGCCAAATGTTTGCTTCCTCCTTGTGATTTGTATTTTCCTTTTGTGTGGGCAACAAAGGCCCCTTTCTCTTGAACTTCCGCTTCAGAAAAAAAAAGGAAGGAGTCACTGGTACTCCAGAAGTTCAGATCAGCGAAGTCCGACTCCAAGAGATACCTGAATTTGTAGCCACAGCCAGTTGGGCTGGTTCTTCCTTCCTGAAAAAAAGAGGCTTTTCTCACCTACTTGCAAATTCTCCATGTTTGCCAGCATGCCCCTCTGAAAGGCAGTCCTGGAGCTGCACTGGACTGGTTTGGTGGAACCAAGTGTTAAAACCACTGTCTGCTCCTGAAGTAGAGAAGAAGAAAGCCTCCATGAGCCAGGCAGTTCACTTGTTGCCATCAGGGCCCTGTCTGTGGGCAGGGGCAGTGGTGCTGCCCTTGCCCAGTGCTGCACCCCTCCTTCCACCAGCCCTGCATTGCCACCCTTTTGGTCTGGGGCAGCACACACCCCTGAGCAAGGTACTGTTGCCCGGTGAGAACACAGGCCTGTTTGTGGTAGGTGAAGAGAAGTATCGAATGGGTGTTTGATCAGAACTGCAAGTACTATACAACTAATACTGAGAGAAGTACCAAAATATTTTTTTTAGGACCACGGGGGGGTCAGCTGCACCACCGGGTAACAGGTGTTACAGTGAGAACTTTAACAGAAGGTTTTCTTCTAATTATCTTCCAAGTGGCTCTCACTTTATGGTCTTTAAATTGAATGCATAACAATTCCATTCTTTAGCTGTTCTGTAACTTAAAACTGCTATTCAAGAAAATAGTAAGAGTGTAAGAACAAAATCTCAGTGCAACAGCCTCTTAAAAGTTTCAGGTAACAGATACAAATTATGTTTAACAAAATCACTTTACACTCTTTTTTTGAGTTGAAGCTCATTCTTTGAAAATGTGTTTCAATGAAATGTGCTGTATAAAACAACAAGCATAACATGAAGTCATCGAATTTTTTTGTTATTCTTGGGAATCATGGCTATAATGTTGCTTAGCAACAAAATCGTCTTCCAGACTGGCTGATAAAATATTAAGAGGTTTTGGTTGCTTTTCCTAGTGTTCAGGAATAGATCTGGAATATTGGTCTTAGGATCTCGCTACTATTAATTCTTTAGTATTTTCTGAACTTAGTTGTAGTAATTCCTTAAAGACACCATTCAATGATTAAGAAACCACTGTGATAGGCATTGTATTGAAAGAAAAAAAGGACTCATCAGAACCCCAGGATCTGTCCCTAAAGAAAACATACTGATCTAGATGTCAGATGCAACCCAAGCAGGTAGCAAAGGTGAGGAGGTGACACAGCATTAGGAAGGCAGGGGTCTGGCAGGGCCAGCTGTTAAGAAAAGGAAAAGCGGCACCTGCTATAGCTCTGTAAAGTGCCTTTAACAACCTCTACTCCCTGCTCAGGGAAGTCCTGGTCACCTTGCTGACGGATGCATTTGACAGCCCTAGATACAAGGCAGAAAAGCTGAAATCTGGGCTTACCGCTTACTGGCTTAGTACCAGGTAAAGAGTTAATTTATACCTGAAGCTAGGTTTTAAAGATAAGTGTCTTGCAAAGCTGCTGCATCTCCCTGCAACAGTGACTGAGCAAATGGTGACTTTGTGTGGAGCTTTAAACAGAACTGACATGATAGACTTAAGCCCTGGTAGCAAGTGATGGATCAGGCTTATGTGGCAATAACACAAATATTACTCCATCTAATAGTAACCAGTCCTGGGACTCTCTGAAACAAAATTCTCTGAAATGTAACATCACCTAGAGCTTACTTGATGACAATGGATCTTTTGAAGTTTGTGTCTTCTGCACTTTGTCCACAGTTATACCTAAATGGCAAGGCTTTCAAGGGGAAATTAAGCAAATAACTCTCCTTGGTACCTTTGAGTATTGTAGCAGGCCAGCTGAAGGTATCAGTTAACGTTCTCCACTAAAATGAAGGAAACCACTTGCCACCTCAAGGAGAATGAGGGGGAAAATAAATCACGTGTTTTAAATGACACATTTGAACTTTTCCCTTCACAGAATTCACCTAAACTCTTCTGCCCAAAGGACAGAGTCCTGGATATTGAAGCTATATACAGTGTTATCGATGACGCGAAACAGTTTGTATACATAGCTGTCATGGACTACTTGCCAATCGTCATTGACACCAATGCTAAACGGTGAGTGTCCATGTCCAGGACCAGCACATTATCATAATGCCAATGAGGTCTGCTGGAGAAAATGAACCCCCAGCAATTAGTTACTACTATGGACCAATTTCTTGGGGCCCAATTCTGCTCTTATTGAAATCAGTGAGAGTTCTGCCATTGACTTAAATAGGAGCAGAATTGGGACCTAAGAAGACATTTCCAGTTCTAGGTCCTAAGCTTTGGATCTGCCTATCGAAGGAGATCAGAAATTGTCTAGTCTGACCATCTGCAAGTGACTGGGACCCAGGAATGCAAGCACCTGCTTATACATGAATCCTATTTCTTACACTATTGTATTCACCCTCTTGATACCACAGCTACTGGCATGAGTATCATACCAGTATCATATTCAAGATGAGATAGTGTGTGTGTGCACGTCTGTGTTAAGAGAGAAATAACATGTTGTGAGTTCTCATACACAGCATGGGAGGCATCGTTGTTTTGTTGAAATATACATATACATGAAAATTCCAAATTCAGCACAGATCACATTTGAATTGTATCTCATTTTGGTTAACTGAGAGTTGCTAAAAACAAACACACACAAGTGATTTTTAAACGCGCTGTTTGTATGGACCATGCAAAACTGGAGCCACAGTGTAGTAAAACCATCCAACTCAGAAGGCAAGTATCCAGTGGTCCCTCCTACTCTCGATAACACTAGCAATGAGTTGAGCATCTAGTAAAGCTCGCCATTCCATCCACGCACTTTATCTGAACACAGTTAAGCCAAACTAAGCATGTGGTTATGTGCTTTTTTCCAGCTTTGCATAGCTAAAGAGGTTTTGTTCAAATTTTTCAAAAAATATCTATCACTATTTGACTGATATAAGGCGTAAGCTGTTTCAAAACTACAAGAGCGTTTTTCCAATACACTCATTATGCACAGCCTCTGTTGCAGTGAAAGAATCAGGGTAGTGCTCTAGGAACCTGAGTTTGACAATATACATCCCTCGGTTTCTCCTTTCTATTGGAAAGGAACTTAGCATGGAGAACCCTTACAGCACTGCAGTTGATGTTGTCTCCTATACTCCTCCTTCGTTCCCATGCCTGAAGAATTCAGGAATCTATTGATTAGGGAGATCCAGGGAAGCCATCTGCGTGAATCCTTCAATGTTTTTGCTACAGCATGGCTTTGTGTTTGAGGCACTGCCACAGCTTCCCTACCATGTCAGCTCCCAGCTCTCACTTCTAAGTTATTTTCTGGCATTGTAGAGCTTGGAATTCATTACGCTGAATGCCTTGATGCTACTGGAATAAAGAAAACTTGCATTTTCTTTCTCTAATTCTCCCTGTCCTGACCTGCTCCCACAAAGGTCAGGAACACAAAGCTAACTAGCCATTGTGAGAATAGCACCATGGAAGCCACCATCCCATTCATGGGAAAATTGCTGCAGTCCTCATCAGGAAAAAAGGTAGCATCCTCTGTAAACGACCCATCTTCATCTGCTACTGAAGGATGCGGGCACCCTTCGTAGCAGCAGCTCTCCTTTTCGCAAGCAAGTTATACTCTCCCAGCTACGGGCAGACAAGGCACCTGTAGTTTGTGCAAGTGTTTTGGCAGCTCTCCGTGCCCCTGCATCAATGGAAGATGTGCTCAACCATCCACAACCTCACTGTGCCCACAGTGGCAGTTTTGGCGCCAGGCAGAATGACACAAAAAAGGGATGCTGGCTGATCTGTTTAGTGAGAATCCCTCCACGAGAGAGAAGCATTCCTTCAATGGATAGAAAATGAAATTCAAATGTGTTTCGTTTGCTGTGTGATGTCTAGACTTGGCTGCATAGAAATCCAAAATTTTTTCAAGTTCTCTGAATATATTGTATTCTTTCTCCACAGGTACTGGCCATATTTAGATGGGAAGATAAGAGAAGCGTTAGTTTTACGAAGTATTAAAGTACGACTTCTCATAAGTTTCTCAAGAGACACGGATCCCCTTACTTTTAACTTTGTTTCGTCTCTGAAAGCTATTTGCACTGAAGTTCCAAGCTGTAGTTTGAAAGTTGTAAGTATAATCCGTATTGCTTTGAAATCTAAGATGTTCCCAACCACCCCCCCAAAAAAATCAAGCAAACTTGACAACTGGGAAGTGTTTTTTGTTAGTATCAAACACTTTAAATTTCATTAAATATCACAGGAAATGTAATACAATGAACTGAATTTATTCCTGGTAGTAACAGACAGAAAAATAGAATGATGCCAAAAGGCAGCCTGTGTAAAGCACTACATCTGGCCTTTCACAGCAAAGCCAACAGAGTGAACTGTAGTCATATGTCTTATTTATACTGGCTGATAAGAGTAAATGTGACAGGACAAAAATGTGGTTTATTCTGGATTCATGTAACCTTACTGTTCAGCTGCGTAAGCATCTACTTTTCCTTTAGTCAAGTACAAAGTACAAGAAAAAATAATGAAGATTTTACATTAAATTCAGGCTGCAAATTCAGAACTGTGAAGACTAGAACAACTGTTATGTGGCCACATTAGACATGCAATACAGGAAAATGAGGAATACCATGTATGTTACATTTGTATTAGAGAATAGAGTGTATGGTAAGTACTACTTTCAATTTAATACAGTTCATTTTTATGAAATGGGGCACACTGGAAATCAGCCATCTTGGGTTCATCTTGGATTGGTAACTTTTTGGGGTTTTTTTGCAGCTGTCTTAAATAATTTGCTGAATTATTTTGAATTCTTAAATTGATAATCCACTAAATCATTTTGGCTTTTTAAAATCTACAACAATTATAAAAAACAAGTACTATTTGCGTTATACACACTAAGCTGTATTTATGTATATCTAGAAATAGGGATTTTTGCTATAATGTACACTTTACTACAAGTTTCCTAGGCAAGAAGCAGAATAAAGCGTGTTCTTAAGTCAAAAAGCCCGTACATGGCTGATGCTGCTTAAGCCACTTCTATTTCAAGTAACTTCTAGCTTGTTCCGTATTTATCATCAAAATTCCATTTACGTATTCAAAATTATTTTTTAATTAAGTGGCACCTAATGCTTTACATACTTATATCCTTTTCCATCTATTTACAGCAGGCAAAATCTTTAGTACAGAATTTATCTTGACAACAGCTAAGTGCAAAAAAAAAATATTTCTAGACATCTATTCTAGGTAAATACTCTATCTAGAATATCTGCAGTTAGAAAATACAAATACAACTTCCAGTAAAAAAATGAGACCACCCCAGATTTAAATAGTTGTAAAGGTACAACACACCTCAGTTATCTCTGTGCTGTGCATCACCCGCTCCACACTGGGTTTTGCCTTAAGCCTTGGTACGAGTAATAGCCCAAGGCTGAGAATTTGCTGGTATCTGTTTGACTGAAACTGTGCCGCGGGCTCAATTGCGATGCTCCTTTACTTCGCAAAACAAATGTCAGATGAGCATTGTTGTTGTTTTTTTTTAAAACTGCATTTCTTTTGTATTCATCTGTTCTAGCCAGGATCAAAGTGAAACAAAACTTTGGGTGTGTATGGGGGAGAATGAATAGGCTAACAAGGTAAAAACTAAACTTAAACCTTTTGAGTTACTGGAAAATTCTGCTTTTCCCTTTTGATTCTGCTTTGGGTATGAGAAAACAAAGTCAAAACTATATTTTGTACAGAAAATACTGTTATGCAGACGACATGTATGTGTTTATACACAAGAACAGTGAAATTTTACGAGAACCTTAAAGTTCTTCTAAGTTAACTTTTAAGTTACATATTCTGATTGAAATGGAATTGTAACAGTGTGCTCTACCTAGAAGCAGGTCTTTTTTTCTCTTTTGCCACAAAACTCTTGATAATACTGGGCAATTAACATCACCAACGCAGTTAGAAAGCGCTTAGTCCCTCATTATGCATTCCTTAGCATCTCACTTGGAGTCCAGTTCACATAAGGATTAATAATTACTGGATTCAATTGAAACTGCTTTGAGAGTGCAAACTCAATACAAGTACTCTGAAAAAATGATCACTGGGAAGAACTCAAGAGGAGAGAGGACTTTGAGGACTAAATAAATGCTATAAGCACGCAGCCCAATATCAAGGAGTAAAATTCTGCTCATTCAGGGAGCTGTCCTATGCACATGCGCTCATGAAATTAAAGCTTGAATCATGAAGGGCAAACTCAAGGTGAAGAGCTTACCACTGTGCTTCTTGGGACCTTAATTACAGTACTCCTGAAGCTGTACATGCTTGACCTTGTAAATACACCTTAGGTGCAAGAACGCTCAGTCTAACTCTCGAAGGAGCAGTAAAAAGGGGCCAGCTCTGTTGGGTGCAGTGCTGAACAGAGAAAAGGTGCCAGTTTTTGAAGGGCCCACAGAAAAGTGTGAACTAGAACAAAGTGTCTTTAGACAACTGGAGACCAGGAAGGAGTGGCATGGAACACACCTGCGTATCTGCAGCACAAGTTGATCTTGAGCCTCCCCATGAATCTATTTTTGAGTTGTGCAGGTGTGTTCCTGCTAAGGTAAGTGGAAGGAAAAACCGAACCTTTCACTAATTCTCAGAAAGCCAGAAATGCCCTACGAGTAAACAAAGTTTTGTGAATGAACGAGGAAACCTCTGCTCATAAGCACTGATTTAATTTTAAAGCTCTGAACTCCTAAAATAAGGGTGGAAAAAATTAAGGAAATGTTAGCAGGTGGTGGTGTATTATTAACCCAGCACTGCTGAAGGCACATGCTGGAGAATGTTAGGCTGTACTACTGACTGCCAGTGCTGGTTCACTTCCTCCTCTAAACCACCCATGTGTGTTCTGTTTGTGAGGGCAGCTGGGTTTTCCTGCTGGTGTCTGTATGGGCAAGCAGTTAATGGCTCCTCTGCTGTTGCTGGAGAACACGTGACATTCTCAAGCCTTCTATCATTTCCTGCCTGAATCTGAAATTTTCTCTTTTACAAAGTTATTATACAGACAGAAAATTATACATTAGTGTTTCAGTTCAGCACATCTGCTGAATCTATCCCAGTCTGACAACTAAGCTTCTGTGACTACTGTGCTTGACTATTTTTTACATCAAGGTATGTAACTTTCTGCTAAATCTTGTAACACTGGGAAGAAGACAGCTTGTTATGTTTTGTTTCCTAGCACTGAATACTTTACCCATTTTTCAGTTTTAGACTATCCCCTGCAATATCAGCCTTAGTTGCACAGTGTCTTCCACATCCCTGTGAAGTTACTGCGCGTACCCTTGATGAATACCCTATGGCTGCTAACTTGCTCCACTCCTTTTGTGTTGCACCAGGAAAAACATGACCTTTTTCTTCTGGCTTTATCCAAAAATTCAAGACCCTTTCAGAAAGTTTCAGATCTATCTCCGGCTTGCTAAATACATATTTTCTGCGGTGGGTGCGTGTTTGTAGAGCAGTTCCTCAGGCATACAGCTGCAGTCTTGATGTCTAAGAACTAACACCTAAAACCTAGTGAACTTTCCTTTACAGCTGCTAAGATGGTTTGTTCTAATTTTTTACGAAGTGTAATGCTGCAATTGTTAGTGAGTTTAAAAATCTGTAATTACAGGTATGATTTCTCCAGGCAGCTTAGTTAGATGTGAATGTACAGTATAAATCTCATTTAAATCTCATTTAAAGGACAGGTACTGGTTTACATAGAATAATCTTTTTTTAGATGACCTTTATAAAGCAATCACTCAAACAGTTTGGGTGGTTATGCTTGCTTGTTTTTAAATTCAAAAAACTGTCTTTGGAATTTTGCTAGTATTTGAACTTAGTACAAAACTTAAGCTGCAGAAAATAACAACACCGTGTACAGGTAAGTAAGTGTGGGGCGACATAGGAAATTCAGAGACTGTTTAAAGAAACAACTGTGTAATAGTTATCAATCATAAAACTGCACCGCAGTACCATCCTGTATTTGACACTGAAAAAAGCACAAATTCTTTGAATTTTGTTTCCAGTGCACTAAAAACTTGCTTCAGCCCTAATGAACTTTCATCACTGGGGGGGGGGTGTCTCAGTCCAAGTACATTCTCAATGCTGGAATCAGCAGGAGCCTGAATTAGCCTCCGTATTTTACACAGAGTTCTTCATAGCAGTTTTGGTACAACCTCTGACAACGTTAAATTTACCAGAATATATTTTCCAGTGGGGAAAAGAGAGATTCTGTCAGAGTCCACAGCATAAAGTGTTAGATAAACAGCAGCCTCTGGGCTACTCCACCTTTTCTCTGCAACTAAACCATTTTAATGAGGTTTCGTAGTACAAATTGTCAATAAGCCTGTTCAGAAATTAAGAGTTCTCCAAGGAAAACCGAACTGTAATGATCATGACTGATGATGAAGATGAAAGATTTTTTGAAAGAGTATTTATACACAGTTCTGAACCAAACAGTGGTATAAAACCTAAAGCTGGCATTCC